GTGCGGCCCCGACATCGCCGACCGAGGACGTCGCCGATGCATCGGCCGCCTTTGACGGCGACGAGTCGGTCGACCGGAACGGTGGCGCCGACGACGGCGACGACGCGGCGGCTGCGGACGCCGAGCGCGAGGCCGAGGCGCTGCGCCGGCGCAACGACAAGCTGCGCGTCGGCGACAAGGGCCCCATCCTGCTGCTGGTGGGCCCGCCGGGCACGGGCAAGACGTCGATTGCCAAGTCGCTGGCGTCGGCGCTCCAGCGGCCGTTTACGCGCCTGTCGCTCGGAGGCGTGCGCGACGAGGCCGAGATCCGCGGCCACCGCAGGACGTACGTGGGCGCCATGCCCGGCTCGATTGTGTCGTCGCTGCGCAAGGTGGGCGTGTCGGACCCCGTTATCCTACTCGACGAGGTTGACAAGCTGGGCAGCGGCAACGGCCTCCACGGCGACCCGATGGCGGCCATGCTCGAGGTGCTCGACCCGGAGCAGAACCACACCTTCAGCGATCACTACGTCAACGTGCCCATCGACCTGAGCCGCGTCCTGTTCATCGCCACGGCCAACACGCTCGACACGATCTCGCCGCCGCTGCTCGACCGCACCGAGGTGATCCACATCTCGGGCTACACGCACGACGAAAAGACGGCCATCGCGCGCCAGTACCTGCTGCCCAAGCAGGTCAAGGCGCAGGGCCTGCAACCGGGCGACCTGGTCGTGTCGGACGAGGTGCTGCTCAAGATTGCCATGGGCTACACGCGCGAGGCCGGCGTGCGCACCCTCGAGCGCGAGGTGGGCGCCCTGGCGCGCGCCAAGGCCGTCGAGTACGCCCAGGCCAAAAAGGGCGCGCTGCGCGACGACGCGGGCAACGCCGTCGCCTACGACCCCGTCGTCAAGGTCGAGCAGCTGGAAAAGTACTTGGGCCCCGAGACTTTCGAGCCCGAGGTGGCCGAGTCCGAGGCGCGGCGGCCGGGCGTGGCGACGGGCCTGGCCTACCAGGGCTCGGGATCGGGCGGCATCCTGCACATCGAGTCGGTGCTGCTGCCGCCGGGCAGCGGCAACCTCAAGCTGACGGGCTCGCTGGGCGACGTGATCCGCGAGTCGGCCGAGATTGCCATGTCGTGGGTGCGCGCCCACTCGTTCCAGCTGGGCATCGTCAAGACGCGCGACTCGGAGTTCCCGCGCAACGACGTCCACCTCCACCTGCCCTCGGGCTCGATCCCAAAGGACGGGCCTTCGGCGGGCGTCGCCATGACGTGCGCGCTGGTGAGCCTGTTTACCAAGACGCCGCTCTCGCCCTACCTGGCCATGACGGGCGAGGTGACGCTGCGCGGCGTCGTGATGCCCGTCGGCGGCATACGCGAGAAGCTGACGGGCGCGTCGCGCGCCGGGATCCGCAAGGTGCTGCTGCCGCACCGCAACCGCAAGGACGTCGAGGCCGACCTGCCCAAAAAGGTGCGCGACGAGCTCGACATCCGCTACGTGCGCACCGTCTGGGAGGCCCTCGAGGCCGCGTTTGGCACGCGCCTGTTTGAGAATGCCGCCATGGCCCTCGAGGCCAGCGGCTACAATGACGAGGGCATCCGCGAGGGCCGCCGCCTCATGAGCGAGATTGTCGACTCGCGCCTCTGAGCGCTCGCCGCGGGTGCTGCTGGGCGCAAGAGCGTGCCTCTGCCCTTCTAGCTCAGCGAGCGAGGCGAGCGAGGGAAAAGGACGCGAGTTGTCCCTGCACTTGTGAGTTGTGCTTCGCCGGTCGACTGGCGCCGCCCATTCCCTGGCGGCCCGACCTGGCCTCACCGCCGACCCGATTCCTTTCCGACTTTCGTCCTCGTCCTCGTCCTCTCGTCTCCGTTCCCTCCCCTCTCCTGCTCTCTTGTTCCTCCTGTTGTTGTATTATCCCCTGCCTCCCGTCTCTTCCTCCAGCCTACCTCGAACCATTTTGAGCAACGTCCGCAGTGACCCGGAGGTCCGCCTGCCCGTCGACGAGGTAAGTGCGAAAGCATGGCATGCGTGCGGCATTGCATGGAAGGACGGGAGAAGAGTGACGAGACAGACGGGCGAGAGGGAGAGACTGACCGAAGACTGACAGACAAGGGGATGTCGAAGGAGAGAGAGAGAGAGAGAGAGAGAGAGAGAGAGAGAGAGCGAGGAGAGAGTTGGGGCGAGGGGGCGTCATGCGTTGAAGCGGAGGATGAAGTTGACCAGGACGGCGATGAGGAGCATGACGGAGAGCATCGTCGGACCTGTCGGGCAGACGGTGAGTGGGACGGCGCCATCGTCCGGGCGGGCCAGAGGAAAGGAAGAGGGTTAGTCTCGAACCTAACTTCGATCCTCGATCCTCGATCCCGACCTCGATTCTCGGGGGACGAGGTACGTACCGAGACGGTCATCGTATGGTCCCGAGCCGCGGTTGCGGATGGCCTTTGCACGCCAGTGATATGTGACGAGGGCGTAGACCATGATCGCCATGGCTAGTCGGTGCGACGAGCAAAGAGGTGAGTGGTGGTGGTGGTGGTGGTGTTGGTAGAGTTCAGCAATCGATCCGTAGAGGAAGGTGGCATCCTCGGCGCCCTCCTCTGACCGTCGTCCCCAGCCAGGTCGAGCAGCAAGCAGCAGCAGCAGCGACCATCGACTCGAGGACGCCCGAGGCAGAGGGACACCGAGAGTGGGCAGAAACTCGACTCGACTCACCGACAAAGGAAAACATGGCGGCGCTGATCCTGCCGATCTTGTCGCCAAAGTTGAGCAGGCCGGCCGCGAGGGCCGAGAGGGTCACTGTGAAGTTGAGCCATGAAAGGACTGTTGGAGGGGCGCAACGACGTCGGTCCATAGGAGAGAGAGAGAGAGATGGATGAGTCAGTGGTGCGGCCCGCGGGTGTCGGTCGTCTGGTCGAGGCCATTGTTGGCGGTGGCCAGGCGTCGCCGTCGCCGTCAGGTTCAAGACGCACAGGTTCGCTCGTTTGCAAAGAAGACCTTGGGCTCGACGCGGACGGGCAGCGCGATGCGCTTTCCCGCCGTCCGCTGGAGGAGTGGCTGCGTCGACATGGTGGGCGGGCGGGCGCCGTGGCTAGTGCGCTGCGAGTCGGGTGGAGGGATGGCAGGAAAGGAGTGGGCGACGGCGGGCAAGACGAGGCAGTGGCGGTGTTGGTGGTGCTGGCGGCGGCGGGGATGCGGATGCTGATGCAGGGTGCGGATAGGGTGTTGGGTCGTGTCAGCCTGTCGAGGTGGTAGGAAGGCGGGGACCGGAAAGGAGTGGTGATGGTGGTGGTGGAGGGGGATGGGGCAGCAAGGCAAGGCAAGGAAGAAAAGTTGAGATGCAGCTAGAGGGGAACGACGGGCGGGTTCGGTCATCCACCCAGCAGCAGCAGCAGCAGCAGCAGCAGCAGCAGCAGCAGCAGCGATCCGGCAGCCAGGCCAACGGTGCGGTGGTAGCGGTACCTCCTCGCGCCCTCTGACGACGGCGTAACAAGCAAGCAGTCGGGTCAGCCAGACCAAGGAACGGGTGGACCTCTCCGCCCTCGACTGCTACCGGCCTCTGCCTTCTGCCTTTTGTCCGCCTAGCCTTGCGGGCGCCAGCCAGCCAGCCAGCAGGCAGGGAGCAGCGATGGGCGCAAGCAGGCTAGACGACGGCCACCATGAACTGGACCATCACCATCGCCACCACCCTACCATCATCTCGACGAAAACCGAGCGAGCTTGATCTCTATCTGGTGACAGCAGTCCGTCTTGCCCATCTCGTCCCGGCGCGGGCTGGATCGAGATCCAGGGCCGCAAGCAAGCTCAGACACACATGCAAGCAAGCCGCCGCACCAGAGCGAAGGGCGCAGGGCCTGTCGGGTCTGGCCTGTCCTGGCCAGGCAGGTTGCGCGTGCCTCGACCTAGCTTGGACTCACAGCTCTCTGACGACGTGGGGTGGGGCCAGCAGCAGGCTGGCAGGCTAGGGGGGCGGCTTCTCGACGGTCAGGCAGGCAGGCCCTGGCTGGCCCGACCATCGAAATCGAGTCGAGTCGAGTCTAATTCCACGCACCAAGCTGCAGCGCGCATCCCTCGCCGGGCCAGGCCAGGCCAGGCCAGGCCTCCAGGGCCCAAGCTAGGCTCAGCTTGGGCCCTTGGCGGGTTCCCCTCTCGACCCTGGCCAGGCGAGGCGAAGGCTTCTTCCGGAAAACGACGAGGTTCGGGCGGCCCGACCACCCAACCAGCTCGCCACCCGCCGGTGCCATGTCGTCGCAGCGCATCGAATCGAAGGCTATCATCGCAAGTCTTGACGAACCGGTGAGGCTCGACACCACCTAGCATGCGACGCTGACTTCGTCAAGGCAGCGGGCAGCGGCGACGACGACGACGACGACGACGAGCGCCAGGCCAGGCTGGCAGGCCCAAATTCCAAATTCAGGCCCGCAACCAGAGCCTGGCTTTGCCTGGCCAGGCCAGGCCTTGCCTGCAATGCGCCAGGCGGGCGGCCAATCCTCAATCTGCGCTTTCGCACGTGCGCACCCCCCCGCTGCCCCCTTCTCGCTGGCTGGCTGGCTGGCGGGCTGGGCCCCGCTCCATCCCGCCCGCCCCCAAACCCGGCAACGGCGACGCCGACTTGGGCACCGCAAGTCCGCAACCCGCCGCTTGGTCGCCATCGCTTCCCGTCGTCGTCGCCGTCGTCGTCTCCGGCCATGCCCTGGTCCCGTCCGGCTTTGGCCCGCCGATACCGTGCCGACCGACCGGTCGTCCGTGCGATAGGCGCGGGCAGCCAGCCCCGACACTCATCCGCCGGACAAGCCTGCCACATCGATGCGTGCGAGCCCCTGATACCGCCGGCACCGAGCTTCGTTCATGGTCGCGTGAGCCGCCCCTCTCTCTATCGGCGGGCTGCTGCTCACCCATCAGCTCCCGACGTCACAATCTTTTCGCCACCTTGAGAGCAGGCGGTCTGTGTCCGTCCTCCTTCTTGGTACTCCGGGTCGCTTCGAGCCGGGCTCTCACTCACGTCGAGGGCCGTCTGGACTGCGACTGTCCTCTCGACGACGACGACAACGATCAGGTCCGCAGTTTACGCGACCACACGCACCGCTATGCCGGGCTGGCCTGGTCGGCTCTCGTCCGTCCAGATCAGGCCAGCCCAGGCCACTCCGATCGATGCACGGTGGCTCTAAAAGTCTGCGTTTGGGTCGTCTGTTGTTACAAAAGAGGTGGTGCCGTCTCGATGAGGGAGGGGGCAGGTCGCTCTGCTGACTCGCCGCTGAGCGGCCTTCTCAACTTCTTCTGCTGTCGAACAGCCAAGGAGCAGAAAGGCCTCGAGCGAAGGCTCCTGTTGCGCTGCGCGTGGGCCAGGGGCGAGTGGCAACACCGAGCTCGGCGCCCTCATACCCGTCGTGCCGGCTCGTGCTTGGGGTCGTTGGTGACCGGGTTGGGATCCTGGTAGCCGATGGCCGGCGGGCCTACTGCAGCATGGATCTGTTAGGAACGGCGTTGTAGCAGCCGGGAGAATAGCGGGGTCAGCAACCGCCTCGTGGAGAGGGTGAGCGCACCGGTCCTGCCCTTGACTCACAGCGCGATCGTCTCTCCTGCTCTTCCACACGGCGGCAGTGAGCCAGAGACCCCAGATCTGTCCAACAAGCAAGCCAGAGACAGGGAAGAAGGTCAGCTCCAGCTCTATGCAGAACCACACAAGTCTGTCGCCGCCACTGCCGCCTCTTGGCTACTCACACCGAGGCCAGCGAGGCCCGTGACGGTCGCTCGGTGGGCGAGGTCGACAAACTTCTGCATCGTTGCGCGCGGTCTACGGTCGGGCGTCTCGGCGATGTCGAAGGTTCAGTTGAGTGGAAGAGATCGAGGCGGCTTCGGAAGAGCTTGCGGTGCGTTTTGTCGTCGTCGTCGTCGTCGTCGAGCAGGAGAGCAAGGTGGCTCGAGTGGTGGGTCGATCCGTAAGCAAAAAAGTCGGGGCGGCGGGTGGAGGTGGTTCTGGTTCGGCTCCGAGGCGCCCGCTCGAGCCGGCTCGTCTCCCCCACACTCTTGTGGAGGCACGCCTCTGGCCTGGCCTGGCCCGTCCGCCCGGCTCGGCGACGACGTCTTCCGGCGGCCGCATCGAACCTCGGCTTGCTCGGTCGTCTCCACCACCTCCTCTCATCCCTCCCTCCGGAAAAGCCTCTCGGATACCCCACCCGCTCTACCGCTCGCCCAACATGCCCATCGTCCACATCGTGCTCGTCAAGGTCAAGGACGCCGTCCTCAACAATGGCTTCGAGGAGTTCAAGGACAAGTGCAGCCAGCTCAAAAACGTGCCCGTCGCCGCCCAGAAGCTCCAGGACCACAAGTGGGGCCCGCCCGCCTACCCCGGCCGCACTCAGGGCTACAACTGGGGTGAGTCTGCGACTGTGGATGCTGGGAATGAGTGTCCAAGCTCGCGAAAGGCTGACCTGTTCGAGATATCCTTCCCCGGCTTGCTGCTGCGCCGGTCTCGCCCGCTTACTGCCAGGCCTCTACTCGCTCTTTGCGACGAGGGAGGACTACGAGGTCTACCGCGACGATGAGGAGCACAAAAAGTCAGTATTAGTGTGCAGAGGGGGTCCGTAGCCGACCCGACTGTCCCAGGGCCTCTCCGAGCTGACTTGATCCTCAACGCGCTCCCTGCCTTGCCTCGACCCGCCCCGCGCCGCAGCTTCTCCAAGACCGTCATCCTGCCCAATGCCGATGGTGAGCAGGCACTGCATGCGCTCGGGTCCGAATGCTTCACCTGGGCATATCGCTGATCGTCCCTTCGCTCCACTCCACTATCCTTCGCCCCCTGCTTCGCACCGCAGAGGTGCTGGCGTACGACTTTGAGATCTGAGAGCCCCTTGACGTCGTTCTGGTATGTCGACCGCAAGGCGGCCCCCGGTCTGTATCCACACCTTGAACACGACATATAGATGCCAATCAACCACTCGATGCTGCTGATATGACCGCAGGAGTGCGACAGGGCCGCGAACCGGAAGGCGGGCCGACCCGCGCCTCGCTCCGAGCCACCGGGCTGCGGCTTCCTCGATGGCTCGCCACCAATCCGAATCCTTGCTGACAGAAAGCGATGCCCTACCATCGTTGGAGCGGACCGCCCTCGGTGAATCGTCGGTCCCGTGTCGCGTCCCCCGCCCCGTTCTGGCCAAAACCTTAATCATGACAGCCGACCGGAGGCGCGGTACCGACCCACGGAGCCAGCCAAGCGCGGATCGTCCCCGTTTCGGCCCGGTCGCGTCGGGCATGGCTCTCTGTTGCCACGGTCGCGCCGGACGAACCGCAGGCAGGGGCCTTGGGGTATGGAGAAGGGGCGGAAGACCGGTTGGCAGGCAGCAAGAAGAAGCAAGCAGGCAGGCTTGCGGGCCAGCCCGAGTGGGCTGCATTAAAGGTGACGTCCGTTGCGGAAATGCAGGCGCGGCTAAAGCACCCGCGCCGTAGCGTCTGCCCTGGGGGCCTGATTCTCCTGCCCTGCCCTGTCTTGCCCCCGTGCCCGGCTCTTCCTTCAGCTCGACGACGACCATCATGCATCGATATGGCCTTGCACGGCGGGTGCTCCCGTCGTCGTACGTTGTTCTGGCCCGTACGTGGATGCGTCACAGGGCTCGGTGTCGGAGCGGCCGCAGGGGCGCACGGTGAGTACCCTCGATTTTCGTCGCGTTGAGGCCTTCGTATGCGCCACCGGCCGCAGAGGTGCTGTTCGATGCCGTGGATGACCTCTGCCGGCCCCACACCATGCATGGGAAACGCAGCGCCATCGATGCAGCGATCCAGGTCCCCCGGCTTCGGGGCCCACGGGGCGGGTAGAACTGAACTGGAAACCTCATGCACGAGCTAGGCGCATAACGCCGGCGACGGAAGGCGACGAGGCTGCGCTGCACCTTCCTCCGCAGCGTCGTGGACAGGTAAGGCGAGTACGTACAGGCAGGCAGGCGGACCGGCAAGCAAGCATGACCTTCGTCAACCGCTCCGCCGTTGGTCCCGCCCACTCGACGCTCTCTCGCAGCAAAGGGGCCTTTCGGAACCTCCCCGAGGTCGCCCTCGCCCAGCCGAACCCAGCTCGCCCTTTCCGATGGCACATCACCTCGTTGTCACGAACGCTGGCTTCCCGGCTCGCGACTTCGAGGGCGGTCGGTCGGGCGTAGCCACGGCGAGCTGCGCAGGTCGGTAAGTCCTATCTCCGGGACGATCCCTGGCTCGTGAAACCAGCGCACAGCACCCGCACAGCACCCGCACAGCACCCCAACCGGTGAAACCGACCCCATATGCGATAGGGCTACTCTGGCGAAACCGAACCCACCCGCGACGGAGCTGCGGCCGTCAACGAGCATCCGGCGAGCTCGGACGTGCTGGATGTTTGATTGCCATCGGCGGGTTGGAAATCGCCCTCATCCGACCAGAACGAGTACGTCCAGGCCAATGCTCCGGCATGCACGGCGGGGCGTCGACGACCATGCATCGATCCATAGCCCTGCGTCGTCACCGTCGTCGTCGGCGTCACCGTCTTCGACGCTCTAGCCTTCGGTTTTGCCGTGTCGCCCGCCCACGAGGGGAGCTAGAACTTGCTTTAACCGCACCGTTGTCACGAACCCTCGTACGTCAAGCGGCAGAAGAAAGCCAGCGGGTCCATCGGCCAGGCTCACGACCACGGTCTCGCCTGTCGTCTGGGCTGAGACGTCGAGCGACCTCCGCCATTCGTAGCCTCGAAGCTAGAAGGACGGACTCCTCGGGCGATGGCCCCGATAACCCAGGCGCAAGCAAGACGAGGGGCACAGCCCGCCCCGGTGTTGTTCACCCCGCCGTCCGCCAGAGGATCCTGGCGATGGCCAGCGAGGGACGGTGAGCAGGGGCTGACGCTGCCCCGGACGGGCGAAGGGCAAGCAATCGCACCGACCGCCTTGGGTTACGCCGGCCGAGTGGCGAGCCAAGGCCGCTCGATGCTTTGCGGCAGGACGCTCGACAGCCAGATGCGGGGCACGGTGGGGGGCTGAACTCGGTCGTCTTTCCCGCTATCCACCCGTCGCTCTGGACGCAACCCCGCCATCCACGCGCGCCTCGCGCCTCGCGGACCTGCCCTCGCTAGCTGCACCACCCTCGTCGCCGTTTCGTCTGCGGTTCGCTCTTTCGCCCAGGCTCTTGCACCGCACCCCAAAGCCAGGCCGCCTCACAGCTTTCGCCTCTACCGTCGGTCATCGAGACTCGCCTCTGCCTTGCACCGCCACGCACCAGACGGTCTTGCCACAGCGCAACTCCCTCGATCTTCCTCTGCCTCGATGTCGGCTGGTCCGTCGCTCCCTTGGGCTTGGACTCTATATAGACGGCAGAGGCTCCCTCGGGACTCGTCCGCTTGCCAACCCCTCCGCGCCACAGTCCGGCTCGGCCCTAAATCTTTCTGGCTTCGACTGAGAGGCGCGTTCCGCATCGCTCGCCTTGGTGTGGCCAGCTTCCGGGACGATAGTCGAGCCGGCCTGCCGACGCATGTCGACCTGCTGCTCGTCAGGCATACGACAGTCCAACGCCTCCGGCTATCCGTCCGGCGCACGCCAGCCTGGCTTCCTACCTAGACGCGCCTAGACGACGATGCCGCCGCTCCGCAGGCCAGCGGCCAAGCCGTCACGGCCTTCGCCCGCATCAGGGGGTTCCGCCGACGAGCCCAGTCCGAATCGCCGCCAGCGTCCTCTCGACTCCGATGCGACGTCCGCCTCTGCTCCCTCCGCGACCTCCACCGCCGCGTCTTCGTCGACCGGCACGACGACGGCTCGAAGCTCCAACGCCTCGACACCTTCGCTGCCGGGCGTGCTGGTGGTGCCGTCGCTGGCCACTTCGGTCGCCGCCTCTTCAACCCGTGCTACGAGCGATGCAGAGAACAGGCCGGGCGTCAAGCATAAGCGCACCCTCCGCGCCTGCGAACGCTGCAGGATGCGCAAGCAGCGCTGCGACAGCGACCACCCGCCGTGTCCGAGCTGTCTCAAGGGAGGCCACGAGTGCATCTACTCTGGCGGATCCGGCATCGACCCCAAGCGATTAGAGTGGGTGCACCTTGGTGGCGACGTGCTGGACAGGGTCGGCTTCGCTGATCAGGTCAACGCTTCCCTCTCGAACACTCTGTGCTGTCTCTGCCCCCACCCCAATGCCCCCTGTACCCGTCGATCTGATGCCCCTGCGATGGGTACGACTCCGGCCGATCAGGGATCTCGAGAGGAACAATGTCAAGCTCAGGGAGGAGAACGAGGCGCTCAAGAGGGAGAACGAGGGGCTCAGAGGAGCTCGCACGGATGAGGGCGCAGCGCACCCGAGGGACAATGCCTTGCCGCCCGCAATCCTGTCATCGGTGAGTCGTGGCGCAGTCTACATGGAGTAGGAAACTGGCTCGTGTCGATGACGGCGACGTCCAGGTTGCTGACGGTTGTCGAAAGCGCGGACCCCTTCCCTCACTTCAATCTCCGAGAACCAGGTGTCTGGCATGCTGTCGAGTATCCCGGTCGCACCTGTGTCGCCCTCCGAGCTCTGCAGCGGGTGAGCCTTGGTGGCTGCAGACGCGGTGGCCGCCGCGAATGAGCGAGCGGCAACGCGTCCCGTGGCTGAATCGACAGGTCTCGTCTTTCCTCTGGCGCTCCAGCGCCGCGTCCAGGCTTTCCATCGACGAACTCCTAACGAGATTCGACCGCTCGAGGGCCCAGGGCCGCGGCATCACCTCTACCATCATCGACATCCCTGCAGGTGGAAACGACTCCGTCGAATACGACCAAGTTGCAAGGGGCGATACCAGGCTAGGGCTGGTTGCCATGACTCGCCTACGCTCCATCTCGCTCCACGTCATCTCCGCCGCCGACTCCAGCTGCATCGACTCGAGCAAGAGAGAAGTAGGACTTGCTGCTGCCACGACAGTAGCCGAGCCGGGCCTGGCAGGCGCTGACCTCGACGGTACGCTCTACGGGACGTCGCATCGCGTCGCTGCGTCGGCCGCTCAAGAGGCCGCCCTGCTGCGCCGCGCCGTCGGATACCTCGCCTGTCGCACGCCTTTCCTACCGAATCTGTCGGTGATCGAGTCTTGGCATCGCCATTTCCACAGCCGCGCCCTTCAACCTGCGGTAGGCGGCCAGCAGAGACCGGCAAGCGAGTCGCATCGGGCGGAGGAAGTGGTACCGGCCGCGGACCTCGACGTGTGGCACGAAATGTGAGGCGGTCGCCATGGAGCGGGACGGTAACGGAGCTCATCGTGTGTCATCCTGACCTTTGATCTTTCTCTCTCATTCCCGCCCTGGCATCACAGCATCCTGGCGTGCCTCTGCTTTCTCGGAGCAGTGCTGGATCGTTGCGCCTCGCCAGAGCGCGTCGAGTACGCAAAGGTGAGCGAGACCAGGTAGCAAGGTGGTGGCTCGTCAGCGCACGGCG